GGCTCTTTCAGCAAGCGGACCTGACCTAGGGTGGATTTTATATTGGGTTTTTTAGGAATTCGAAAGACGCAACTCTAAATCTGGTTTAATTCGGTTTTAAGGGGGGGATTGTACATATGTTTTGGTTTTAAGTATGTTGTGCGCCGCCCTGAGTCCCGTCGGGAGAAGGGCGGCATATAAATTAAATTAAATAAATAAAATAAATAAAATTAAATAAATAAAATAAAAGGAGAGCATGCGAGGCCAGGAGGGATGGGACAGGGGGGGAGGGAAACCAGCTGTGCTGGGATGCATCTGGCCACGTGGGACCTCAGCGAGTCAGCGGGTGGTTGATTGAAGAGGGATGGTTGCCATCTCTGGGCATGGCACACGTGCCCACAGAGAAGGCTCTGAGTGCCGCCTCTGGCACGCGTGCCATAGGTTCGCCACCACGGATATAGTATGTTTAGGTGTGTGTCATGTATGTATTCACTTTGAGAGCGGGCAATTAAATTTCATTTTTGATGTGTGCCGTTGTGCCCACAGTTAAAAAAATGACAATAAAGGTTATCTTTCTCTAAGGACAACAAGGTGTCTCACTCCTGGACTAGGGACTGAGACAACTTCCTGAGGAAATAGCAGAAAAAGAGAGCTTGAAAAGACATGTTTTGCCAGCTGTTTTCCAGTTGTGGAGTCCTTGGTGCTCTCTGAGCTTGGTGGTTTTCTTGGAGACGCTTCATTGCCAAACTAGGTAATGTCATCAGTGCCAGCAGACTAGACTCCCAGCACTGATGACGTTACCAAGTTTGGTAATAAAACGTCTGCGAGAAAACAACCAAGCTTAGATAGTACCAAGGACTCTGCAGTTCAACCTTGAACTATGAATAATCTCTTGTTTCCAAGTTGTTACTGTACATGCTTTTTTTCCCCTGAAGATAAAACAAATTGCCTTAGGACCGTGTGTGCTATTCTCTATTCCTTGGCCAGGAATATAAAAAGCCTTTCTTTTCAAGGAAGCAGAGAAGCTCAAGGGAAAAACACCTGATTTATGAACTGTGATGAACAAGGGTTAAAAGGTGATTGCTTGCCTACTCAGTCTTGACTGGACAAGATCTTTTCCGAAGAGAAAAAGAAGTGCTCTTTGCAAGGAAGAATGTTATTCCCCATGTGATATTCATCACTTTTAATAATAGCAAAAAAAATAATAATAAACTTTCCAAGGGGTGGAGATGGAGAGAGAAAGAGATAATTGAAAAAATATGCAGTGGAATACAGCTTCAAAGGGAATTGGAACTTGTCTGTAACTATTTACAGAGCATTTACCAAGGTTTGGTTCTCCTTTGTGAATTAGAAAGTCAAATGCAATTGGAAACCTTTCTCATTTAAGGTCTGGGATGGAACCAGGGCCAGCTTTCCCACTGGATGGCCGAAAGAAAAACTTTCTGAAAAAGGACAGGTGGAATACACAACCTCATTGCCCTAGCATAGGGAGAAAAGCAGTTGGATATTATTGGCCCCAGGAAGATTTTTGTGCCAACGTATCCCTGGCTGCATCCAAACAATGGAAGACCACCTATAATGCATTGAAATAGCAAACTGGGACCGTGAATAGACCGTGCAACCAAACACTGATTCAGACATAATTTACCTAGGATGCATCAATAAATTTATAGCTCAGGGTTGAAATGAGAGGTCCTTGATGCTCTCTGAGTTTGCTTGTTTTCTTGCAGACCTTTCATTGCCCAAACTAGTGCACTCAAGAGAGCACCAAGGACCCCTCTAAAGGAGAATGACTTAACCCAGTGATGGCGAACCTTTTAGACACCGAGTGCCCAAACTTGCAACCCCAAAACCCACTTATTTATCGCAAAGTGCCAGGGCTGCATCAGCATTGTGGTGCCCTCAGGGGGCGCGCGGGGGGCGTGACCCACTGGGTGGGCGTGGCTGCAGTGGTCACGGCAGACTGGGTGAGTGCAGCCGGGGCCAGTCCCTCGTCATCTCCAGGGCATCCCCGGGGAACCGCTTGCTCGCTCACTTCCTGCCCCGTCGCTTCCAAACGCCACGTGCTCGCTACTCTGGTGAACTCTGCTGGGGCAACGGTATGTGTGCCCACAGAGAGGGCTCTGAGTGCCGCCTCTGGCACGCGTGCCATAGGTTCGCCACCACTGACTTAACCAGTTAGTCAAGTTGATAATCAAGACTAAATTAAAAAGATTTTTTTTAATGACTCGCTTTTGGCGGTACTTTGAATTTCCCACCTGTGATGCTCTCTATATGCTATTGTTGAGTTACCTGAATATTGGTAGCTCAGAGTTGAAATGAGGGATCCTTGATGTTCTCTGAGCTTGTTTTTTTTTTCTTTTCTTGCAGACATTTCATTACCCAACTAGGTAACATTATCAGGGCTAGGCTAGGCTAGGCTGATGTTACTGAAACGCCTGCAAGAAAACAACCAATCTCAGAGAGCACCAAGGACTCCTCATTTCAACCCTGAGCTATAAATATTCTCCTTTATTATCCT